ATCGAGTGAGACTTGAAGTACCAAGAAATGAAATAAACAATTTCGTGAATCTGGGAGGATTCTAAACGTCATTTCACTCATCACATAGTCAGGACAAGAAACTAACTAAAACAGATAATTGATAACTCAAAAGGAGTGGAACTTATTCGAAAAATGTTTACCGACTTTTAATAGATACAACATCTCAAATCGCACTTAAATATGTAAATTACTTAATTTAAAGGTGATAGCTTTCCTACGATGGGAATAATGGGAGAAAACATTTTTTCAAATGACAGGCCTTACGATATTTACCAATAGTACTAAAGGTATCGCCGTGGGCTCAGCCGGGATATGAACCCGGGACCTCTCGCACCCAAAGCGAGAACCATACCCCTAGACCACTGAGCCACGCTCACCGCATTTAAAATGTTTACTAACTGTATAATTAAAAATTGTAAGCCCAATTACGGAACATGGCGTTTATTTTCACTCAAAAGTAAAATTAAATTTCGAAAACAGTGTTGCACACCTTATATAATGCTAAAATGAGAACAAAAGGCAGATAAAAAGCACATCACGGGTTTACACATTGCAGAAGATGAAATTAGTACTGGAAGAGGTTCAGAAAAGACAGTTAGGAAAGTAGACAACACGGAAGGGGGGAGATGGAAGGGAATCCGTCTAGGGCCATTTAAGCATCAACTTCTTCCTGGATTTCTTCTTCATCCATATCTTCTTCCTCATCTGCAATACCAGCCTCCTGATATTGTTGGTACTCACTCACCAGATCATTCATATTTGATTCAGCCTCTGTGAATTCCATCTCATCCATACCCTCACCAGTGTACCAATGCAAGAAGGCCTTTCTTCTGAACATCACTGTGAACTGCTCACTGACTCTCTTGAAGATCTCTTGAATAGCTGTGGTGTTTCCAATGAAGGTAGCTGACATCTTGAGTCCACGTGGTGGAATATCACAAACGGCAGTCTTTACATTGTTCGGGATCCACTCAACAAAGTAAGAAGAATTCTTGTTTTGGGCATTTAGCATCTGGTCATCTACTTCCTTCATGGACATACGACCACGGAATATTGCCGTGACAGTGAGATAGCGTCCATGTCGTGGATCACAAGCAGCCATCATATTCTTTGCATCAAACATCTGTTGAGTAAGTTCAGCAACTGAGAGATTACGATATTGCTGGCTACCACGGCTAGTTAGTGGCGCGAATCCAGGCATGAAGAAATGTAAACGAGGGAACGGAACCATATTAACAGCAACTTTTCGGAGATCAGCATTCAATTGACCTGGGAAACGTAGGCAGGTGGTCACGCCTGACATAGTGGCAGAGACAAGGTGATTCAGATCACCGTAAGTGGGATTTGTAAGTTTGAGAGTTCGGAAGCAAATGTCATAGAGAGCTTCATTGTCAATGCAGTATGTTTCATCAGTATTTTCAACCAACTGATGAATTGAAAGTGTAGCGTTATAGGGTTCCACAACTGTATCTGAAACCTACAAAGAAACCAGTTGAAATGAGCGCCAACTTCTTGGCCAAGGTGTAAAATTTGTTTAACTGAATCATGGCACGAATTAAAGGGACCCAACAACAAGCTTAAAGTCACGTTTGATTTTTTTGGCTTACCTTAGGAGATGGCATAACAGAGAAGGTCATCATGATACGATCAGGATACTCTTCTCTCATTTTGGAGATTAAGAGAGTACCCATACCAGAACCAGTACCTCCTCCAAGACTGTGGCACATCTGGAAGCCCTGCAGACAATCACAGGCCTCGCATTCCTTTCGAATAACATCCAACACGGATTCCACGAGTTCAGCACCTTCGGTGTAGTGACCTTTGGCCCAGTTGTTACCAGCACCACTCTGGCCGAAGGCAAAGTTATCTGGACGGAAAAGTTGACCGAAAGGACCTGCTCGAACGCTGTCCATGGTTCCGGGCTCTAGATCAACGAGTACACAGCGAGGAACATACTTTCCACCGCTTGCTTCACTGAAGTAGACATTGATACGTTCAAGTTGAAGATCGGAGTCGCCGTGATAAGATCCAGTGGGATCAATTCCGTGTTCATCCGAAATCACTTCCCAGAACTATAAAATAAGATACCATCTTTTGAGCAATACTCATAAAATCTCATAACACGAATCACCTTTGGTAGCATTCGGTAATTAATTATATTTTTATAAAGTCGGCTTTCGCGATATTCTATAAAAAACCGCTTTCCTCCAATGAAATTATTATATTTTTGATCGATGTTGCTATGCTGCATTTTGTTAACAACTGAACCAAAACTCTTAGAACCAAATAATTTCACACTCTTTAAATGAAATCAAAATAAAAAAATACAAATTTGCTCCGTAATTACTAACCCTGCACTTGTTATACAAAATTAATGCCCACTGATTTAAAAAAATAGTTCGATAGAGAAAAAATTATTTACGTTTTACTATCAATCACTCCAAAATATTATCGAATTAGTTAAATAAGCAATCTTACATTTATTAAAAGTATTTTAACATTAAATACCTGTTCCTGATTTAGCAATTTGTGAAATAAACATAATATTTTCCATTGATGACAAAGCACAAACCTATTATTGTAATCTTAAGAAAAAATGGTAAAAGAAAAACTAAAAAAATGATCCAACAAATTAAACATAGATCTTAGTTACAGAAACGGCTCTTTTGCACTATTTTGTATTAAAGACTATGCAAATACGCTTAATTTACCCAATCTAAGCGTGAAAATAAACAATGAATTCAAATTTTGGAAAAAAACACAAATTTCAAGAACAGAGTGGTCTAATCTGTCTTCGAATATAATCCACGTTTAACTTGACCATACGAATTAATAATGAACTCGATAGCGTGATTAGTCCCATCCCAACTGATAATTTCATTGGTTTAGAATTGAAGCAGGAGAATTAATCCAGGTGTGTACAAAGAGCTCACCTTGGAACCAATTTGATTTCCACATTGGCCAGCTTGAATATGGACGATTTCACGCATTTTGCTTTAGAATTCTACCGAGAGCTGAGGCAAGAGCGTCAGTCGCAATGATAACGATTACGCTTTGAACAGTGCGAGGTACTCGCGGAGTTCGCAAGGCTTGGATTTCGTGACTCAATGCGCACAGCAACAATCCCTGTCCTGATTGGCCCATGCACTAAAAGGCCAATCACAGCTCCACAAGTTTCAGTGGCTTCGATCGTCCAACTTGCCTACTTTGCGTGCGGCCGTAAGTGCCTACGAATACACGCGATTTGTGCCTGTCGGAGGTGATACAACGCACACATAAATTGCGAGAATGTAGACAGGCAAGTGTGAATCGTCATAACATCCATTATCTCTTAAATGCTATTGGTTGGCAGGTAACCGTGCGGTACATGACTCAACAAAATATAGCTTTTGCAGATCTGTTTACCCTTATATCACTTGTGATTGTTAATGGTGCAATTCCGCTAACGGCATATTAGTTTTATGGCCTTTGGAAATCTTAGCTTTGTTGTGATCAAAGCTAGAATTGATCTGACAAATGGCCAAAATTGTTTCAAATAAGGAAGTAGTTTACAATTCGCACCCAGTACATTAACTATCGAAGTGCTTCAAATCATCATTATTAATACAAAAAATATATTTAAAATACTAGGATTAGCTAACATATTATTAATAGCGACATGTTTTAATAATATAAATAAATAATATAAAATATGAATTGACTATCACAAGCACACAAGTGTGTTTACTCCTTTGATATTCAGCTATCATTAATCGATTTGTCCAGTTCTCCAAAATGGTAGTGAAGGAACGAGCAAAGAGATTTTTACAAAACTGAGAGTTTGCTAAGGAGGTTTAAATTATGCGCGCGTGGCAATGTATTCGCGTTTATTTAAAATCTAAATTTAGTCTTTCGAATATTTTTTCTGCTCAATTTGAGCCATCAAGGTCTAGCAAACGCTATACGCCGTAAAAGAGTATTCAAAACCATCTGTCATTTTAGATCTTTTCCTCGAACTAAAACGCCCTAAATAGTTCGGTTTGTATATTATTAAACAGGCAAGCGTACATAAAAATGGTGTCTATTAAATTTACACAATATGCAATAGTTTATTTTTGAGAAAAAGGTGAATTACTCAGCAATTAGATCAAATGTCACTCCGAAATGTGGTCCTTTTTCCGATCTATGCCTGTCAAATTAGCCAGATATTTGACATTTGAATATTTTGGCTATCGTTTAGCTTGTAGTTCTGTTTACCAGATCCAACAACTCATATTCACATAGACACAAATATTTTAATAAGTAAGAACGGCAAAACTCGCTCAATACACATTAACGTGTCATTTTCATTGTTTAAAACGGCAGAAGTACCATAAAATAAGCAAAATTTAACTTTCGAAAGGATGCTTTTAGGAAGGTGAAAATGTCAGACCGTTTGTAGGCGAAAAATCGAAATGCAAATAGCGTTAGGGCATTTTTCACCACGCAAATGGCAGTTCTGTTTCATTTACCTTTTTTCCAATCTATCGGTTAGCGAAATGCTGCGCTACAAAATAAATACAGTTTAGAGGTTTCTTATCACTTCAGACGGTGTTGGGGGGGGGGGGATTTATTGACATTAATGAAGAGTAGGAGGTAGAAACTTGTAGAATATGAAGCTTTTCAATGATAGAGGTGAACTTATAGGTCTATGAGTCTACACTCATTTTAGAATTAAGTTTGGTCTGTGTTCCACAAGATCTTCCAATCCATATCGATTTTCAATATTGAGAAAATTGGACGGAGAAATTTTCTGCAGTCAATAATGTTCCAAGTTATTATTATTATTACTATTATTATTATTATATCAAATGACAGGCGTCTTGATGGTTATCATTAGCCCTTTAGTTGACTTGGAGGCGTCTTGATGGTTATCATTAGCCCTTTAGTTGACTTCAGGCAACGCAGAGAGGAAGGTACATCAAATTGAAAAAAGTCGAGAGTGGAGGGGGAACAGAAGAGTGTTTCAAAGATGTAAAAGAGACAGACACAAAGGTAGAAAAAAGGTGAGGTGAGTACTATGGAAGTAGTCGAATATGACATACAGTGGGGTGATGGTAGTTTGAAGTAAGAACTCAACTGTCAGTCAATAGACTTTTTTGCCGTATGAGTATACGTTGCCCAGGATGCACCACGTGGAGGTAAGTCTATCGCACACCCCATAATGTCCCAAGTAATTTGGTATTGAGTGGATCATGTTGCACTGAAAGCAAATTGTCGTTGAGATGATCAGGCGAGAAATGTTGACGCTTTAAAGTTTTTCGAAATAATTTTTAAAGTAATTACTATTTGCATTTAAATATATACACATTTTTATATTTCAAGGTAAATAATTAAATGTCGAATTAGATTGTCCGCTACGTTTGCTAATGGTCTTCGGTTCGAGCCCTTACAGTGACATTGAGGTGAGCTTGATTGACTAAATGTTCACAAAATATATAAATCACCCTAAATTGTAAAGTTATATGGCCAGCTTGAAACAGTTGACTCTTTTTAAGAATCGAGTGTCAGAAATTTAGTTTTATTCGCACTAGTAATTTGCAGGAGTGGTGATTAGACTCCGATATTAAGCAATTTGTTAGACTTTAATTAATAATAATAATAAAATTCTCTTGCCTTGTACTATGTTGAAACATTTAAACNTGGTGGGATCACAAAGGAATTTTGTATTTTTTCAACTCATGCCGCAGAACCAAACGATAAATTCATATGTGCATGTTGAACAACTCGAAAAACTGAAGGATGCAATGGGCCATTATCAAATCGGCGAAAGGGTGTTGTTTTCCACACATCATTGATAACGCAAGGCCTAGGGTGTTGTTTTCCATCATGATAACGCAAGGCCTCCTCCCTTGTTGTTTTCCATCATGATAACGCAAGGCCGTACACATATTTGAGACACATCTTAAAAATGCACCAAGGCGGACCACCCTCACATCTTTGGTTACTCGGCAAAAACCCATATCTTTGGTTACTCGGCAAAAATTATTGGAAGAACGGGTTGGGGGGTTTTGTCACACCCACCATATAGCCCTGACCTTGCGCCTTAGGATTACCATTTGTTTCGTTCCATGCAACACTCTTTAAATGATTACCATTTGTTTCGTTCCATGCAAAACTCTTAAATGGTAAAATTTGTAACAACGCGGATGATGTCGGATCAACCTAATTCAGTTTTTTAATAGCAAAGACCAGCTATTTTACGAAGGGGGCATTTTTACTCTGCCAGAAGGATGGAAAAAGGTCATCGACATGTAAAAGGTCATCGACAAGAACGGTCAATAGCTAATTGAATATCTAATTGAATATCGATCGACAAGAACGGCCAATATCTAATTGAATAAAGTTATTCGTCGACAAGAACGGCCAATATCTAATTGAATAAAGTTATATTTTTAAACAAAAAATCCGGATTTGCCTTCTTATTTGAAATCGGCAATGACTTAGCATACCTTCTTATTTGAATAGGCAATGACTTAGTTGCCTACCTAATATATATTGACTCAGAGAATTTGCCTTCTTATTTGAAATCGGCAATGACTTAGTTGTAACCTTATATATTATTAAGTACTTAAGTACCCGCACACATATAGATGCATTACAATCACAGTGATTTGACGCATTGTATAAGGTAATAATTTCAAAAAATGCGAATGCGTTCAAATCCCAATGGAAATTCCTTGCCCAACACGAACGGTGGCAGAATGAAAGTCCCTCGCAGGCATTTAAATCAAATAGCTGGCTTTAGGATAGCTATCATTAGACCTCTAGTTGACTTCGGGCTTCACAGGGGGGAGGAACATTTAAGTGAGAAAAAGTCGGGAGATGGGACAGAAGAGTGTTTCACAGATGTGAAAAAAAACAGATAAACAAACAGACACAAAGGTAGAGAAAAATGTAAGGTGAGTACAGTGAAAGTTGTCAAATATGACCAGTTAGAAATAAGAAATTTTTTTCGATTTTCACAACAGCCAAATAGGTGTAGGCATTTCCCGCTTGTGCTAATATGCACACTATCCAAAATTGAGAACAGTCACTGATGAATAGGTGGTCGCGAAAAGCGTTTTTTTCCAATAAATTGAAGTCAGCCTTTTAATCTGCCAATATCTATTTATTTATTTATTTTAAATGGGAGGCGTTTTGATAGTTATCATTAGCCGATTTCGGGATTCATAGAGAGGAGGAGTAGCATCAACGTGGCAAAAAGACGAGGAGGGGACAGAATATTGATTCACAAATTAAAATGAGACCGACAGATACAAAGGCAGAGAATAGGTAAGATAAGTACTGTGGAAATGGCCGAATATGACATACAGTGAGGTCATGGTAGTTTGAAGTCAGAATTCGACTGTCGCGTGAGTATACTTTGCCCAGGGTGCACCACGAGGAGGTAAGTCTATCGCACACCCCTTAATCTGCCAATATAAAAATTGGATGTCAAGGGAGTAAGCAATGGGGGGGGGAGGGGGGGGGGGGGGGGGGGGGGGGGTGAGCAGTTGATCTTACTTTTTCAACTTTGCCGATCTCAATTCTCTTCTGACTTAAATAATTCCAAAATTTTATGGCCTTATAAAATTAGACCCCAAGCATCCGCTGCTTGCGTTCCAGGCACTATTTAGCATTAGGAAATGGTTAGGGAAAGTAAATTATTGTACAATTGAAACTACCTATATACTTAAGAATACTGATTAGGCAAAAAATAGTGTTACTATCAAAACCCCTCCGTTATTTCAGAGGAAATAGACATTTATGTCAAGTGGGGCACTAAAATCCTCCCACCCTCGTTGTAGTCAATGCAATGGATTATTAAAATAACTGAAGTACACCATGGGCCATCAACCTCTTGACCTCTAATTTTGACATATTTTAAGTATCTGAAAATACCGGGGGAGGGGGGGGGTAATTTCGTGTAAGAACATACCATTTAAATGTTTTTTCGATCTGAAATCCAAACGCTCCAGCTAAAGTTAAT